CTTTCAGACTCTTTTCAGTACCAACCGAATAGTCCAAGATTCAGCAATTCAGTCCATCACACAACAACCAGTAAAGTATGAATTGGATACTGCCCCCACTTTAGGAGAAATCCTCAAGGCCATACAGCAGGTGAAAATCGGCAAGGCAGCTGGGGTTAATGGAATTCCACCTGAAGTCTGGAAACATGGGGGCCTTGCACTCCACACCAAATTTCACGAGTTTGTGGTGCGCTGTTGGGGGCTCGGTGAACTACCATCAGACCTTTGTGATGCAGTCACCATCACTTTGTATAAGAAGAAAGGTATTAAATCAGATTGCTCAAACTATCGTGGTATTACTCTGCTCTCCATTGCTGGCAAAATCCTGGCAAGAATACTCTTGAACAGACTAATACCCGCTATAGCTGAAGAAATTCTACCTGAAAGTCAGTGTGGTTTCAGAGCCAACAGGAGTACCACAGACATGGTATTTGTTCTCAGACAACCGCAAGAGAAGTGTACGGAATAGAACAAAGGTCTTTATGTAACCTTTGTCGACCTCACAAAGGCTTTCGATACTGTGAGCAGAAGAGGTCTGTGGCAGATTTTAGAAGGTTTAGGTTGTCCCCCCAGGTTCCTCAAAATGATCATCTCACTCCACGAGGATCAGCACGACCAAGTCAGATATGGCAACACACTTTCTGAGCCCTTTCTAATAAAGAATGGTGTGAAACAAGGCTGCGTTCTCGCTCCTACCCTATTCACAATCTTTTTCAGCATGATGCTCCAAAAGGCCACGGCAGACCTCGAGGATCAGGACGGTATCTACATTCGTTATCATACTGATGGAAGCCTATTCAACCTAAGGGACTGAAGGCCCACACCAAGACCTTAAACCATCTTGTCTGGGAGCTGCTTTATGCTGATGACGCTGCCCTTGTCACTTACACAGAAACAGCCCTGCAGCGTTTAACATCCTGCTTTGCAAACGCTGCTGAACTCTTTGGGCTGGAAGTCAGTCTAAAGAAGACAGAAGTTCTCCATCAACCTGCACCTCAGGAAGTCCCTCATCATCCCCACATCACCATTGGCCAATCAGAACTCAAATCAGTCCAGCAGTTTAATTACCTAGGTAGCCTCATCTCCTCGGATGGTAAGATCGACGGAGAGATAGACAACAGGTTAGCAAAGGCATATAGTGCTTTTGGAAAACGCCACAAAAGAGTTTGGTGAAATAAACACTTGAAGAAAAGTACCAAGATCAGTGTTTACAGAGCCATAGTGCTGTCTACTCTCTTGTATGGTTCCGAATCATGGGTCATGACCCATCTCTTCCGGCCCCAGTGCTGCCCTGCCCCACCCATAGGCACAATGGTGGAGGTAACCCCGCCCCCTCGCCGCCTCCACCACACACCACCCCCCCCACACAGGGAACTGGGTTCACTGGGGCCACAGGGGGAAGGAATGGGGGGATGAGGAGGAGGAATCTGGGATGGTTCTGTCAGGAGGGAGCGAGGTAGCAAACGGGGAAGGATCAGTTGATAGGTGGGGTTTGTGTCGAGGAGGCATTCCGAGTGGGGGACTTGCAAGTAATCAATGCATGCCCTGTCATTATTGGCCCATGTCAGAACCGTCAATTCCAACCTTTACCACACGAACTAACAAAAGAATTGAGAAAACTAATAAGGGAAACTGTCGTGTCCTCACCTAACACCCTTGCATTTTTAGAGGCACTGAGTTCCACCTACATTTTTATGTCACACAATTGGAGGACCCTACTAAAAATAAGTCTTACTAACACGCAGTACAACGTGTGGCTGACCGATTTTAGGGAGAATTGCTCTGCTTATGCCAATGACCCACAGGCAGGTGTAACAGCACATCAACTAACCAGGGAGGGTAATTACCGTTCAATAGACTCTCAAACTGGGTACAATAGGGAAGTATATGAAGTAATAGCTAAACATGCAATGCGAGCTATGAGGAAATTACCTACATCAGACAGAGACACCAATTTATCACTTACAAAAATAATGCAAGGCCCAACAGAACCATACACCCAATTCTTGGATCGGCTGCAATCTGCCTTAGATAGGCAGATTGAAAATGAGGAGCTGATGTTTCCATCATAAAGGACTCCGAATGACCACTTGACTGACCCACTGTTTGCCCAGCTGCAACCATTCAGGGGGTGGGAGGCACACAAAGGCCCAGACAGAGTGCCCAAGTACTCACTGTCTTGGGACCAGAGGGACAAATAGCCAAGGTAGCTCCTTTTGTTGCTCCAATTCCCTGTACACTGTGGGGGAGGGACACTGTGGAGGAATGCAAATTCCTCCTGCAAGCAACCATGTTTTTCAATAGGGGCCATTGGTCAGCCAACCCAAGCACCAATTAAGCTAGTCTGGAAAAGTGACCAGCCAGTCTGGGTAGACCAATGGCCTATGAAAAAGGAACGGCTTGAACACTTAAGGGAGCTTGTAAGAGAACAATTAAAAGCAGGACATATTGTGCCAACAAACAGTCCCTGGAATACTCCTGTGTTTTGCATTCCCAAAAAAAGTGGCAAATGGATGATACTGCAGGACTTAAGGCAGTAAACGCAGTCATAGAACCGATGGGAGCGTTGCAGCCAGGACTGCCTTCACCTGCTATGCTCCCAGCAAATTGGCTGCTAATAATAATTGATTTAAAGGACTGTTTCTTTACTATCTTCCAACACCCAAAGGACGCGCCAAGGTTTACCTTTTCCATCCCGGCCTTGAACAATGCACAACACATGCAAAGGTATCACTGGATTGTCCTTCCTCAGGAGATGAAAAGTAGTCCTACAATATGTCAAACAGTAGTGGCAAACGCTATTCATCCTATCAGAAAGCGTTTTCCCTCTGCTATCATCTATCACTACATGGATGACATTTTAATTAGCATGGCCACAGAACATGAACTGCAAATTGTTGTTACTGCCCTAACTGATGCTGTCCAAGAAGCAGGGTTGCAGGTTGCACCAGAGAAAATCCAGTGATCGCAGCCCTGGACTTATCTTGGATGGAGAATCACACAGCAAGAAATTTCCCCCCAGCCACTGCAGCTCGAGGTAAAAGACACTTTAACTTTACATGAGTTGCAAAAACTCCTGGGAGCCATTAATTGGTTAAGGCCCATTCTAGGCTTAACCACAGAGGAGCTACACCCTCTATTTGTTCTGCTAAGGGGGGACTCCAGCCTAACGTCTAACAGGTCTCTGACAGCAGAGGCCAAGCAGGCGTTAGACATTTGTGCCAAGGCAATAGAGAATAGGTAGGGCAGGAGGAGAAATCCTGAACTGCAAATCTACCTGGCCTTAGTTCCCAGCAGGTACCAGCCATTTGCAGTCTTGTTTCAGTGGGATCAAACAGAGAAAGACCCTCTGCTAATTCTAGAGTGGCTCTTTCTGCCCCACACACCACCTAAAACTGTGTGGACCATTAACAAAATGTTTGCTAAGCTTGTCATTAAAGGCAGAAGACGACTGAAGGAACCGGACGGAAGGGATCCTGCTGTTATCTACATCCCAACTACAAAGACAATTTGGATTGGATGCTGGCTGAGGACGCAGGATTCCAAGCTACCTTGGCAGGTTTTGATGGTGATATTTCAATCCATCTCCCTAAACACAAATTGTGGGCAGAAATCGGTAATTTACCTTTAAAAGCCACTACCAGATGCAAAACTGAGCCAGTAAAAGGCCTCACAGTCTTTACAGATGCATCTGGGAAAACACAAAAAGCTGCAGTGACCTGGGTAAACCCTAATACAGGACAATGGGAACGAGAGGTACGGACCACGAACCAAGGCTCTGTGCAGATTCTGGAACTGGCTACCATTCGTATTGCCTTGGGGAAATTTTCTGAACAACCTGTTAATATTGTTACTGATTCTTTTTATGCTGCAGGGTTAGTCTCACGTCTGGAATGTTCGTTTCTTCGAGATGTTTCTAATCCTCATCTGTTATTTGAAATGCGTTCTATTTGGATTCTTATCAATCACAGAAAGTTTGACTTTTACATAATGCACACGAGATCTCACACTGACATGCCAGGGCCAATAGCTGACGGGAACCAAGAGGTTGACAAAGCAGCAATGTTTAACACCATACCCAGAGTCCTAGAGCAAGCAAAATTGTCTCATTAACTTTTTCATCAGAATGCACGTTCTCTAAAGAGACAATTCATAATAATGATAAATCAAGCTCGAAACATTATCATGACATGTCCAGACTGTCAGAAAATCACACCCATGCCATCTCAGGAAGGCATTAACCCCAGAGGGTTAATGGCAAATGAAATCTGGCAAACAGATATCACACACATCTCCGAATTTGGCACATTAAAATATGTACATGTAACTGTAGACACACATTCACAATACATAACTGCTACAGCACACACAGGTGAGAAAGCCAAGGATGTAATAAGACACTGACTCAGTTGTTCTGCTACCCTTGGTACCCCAAAACAAATAAAAACCGATAACGGACCGGCATACATCTCAGAAAAGGTAAGAAATTTCCTATCAGAGTGGGGAATTTCACATGTCACAGGAATCCCACACTCACCTACCGGACAGGCAATTGTAGAAAGGGCACACCGCACACTGAAAGAAATGTTAGCAAAACAAAAAGGGGGGGAGAATCTGTATAGTCTGCAGGAACGTTTGTGGAAAGCCACATATGTTATCAATTTTTTAAATTGTGACAGTGCTGAAAGAAGCAGGTACGAAAAGCAGCACAAATCTCAGAATCTCACCTCCCCCAAACCACTAGTCATGGTAAAGGATTTGCTTTCAGGACAGTGGACAGGACCCCTAGATCTTATGACTTGGGGGAGAGGTTATGCCTGCTTGGCTACAGGAAAAGAACTTAAGTGGATTCCTTCCAGGTGTGTAAAACCCTATTTAGGTACACAATCACAGCGGCAAGAACCAGAGTAACACAGGTTATAAAAGAGTTATGTTTATGTTTCAGGTTTACATTAAGGGATGACCAATGTGGTAAAAAACAGTCTGCAAAGTATCTGTGTGTCATGGTTTGACAGATCCCTTCCAGTCCCAAAGCAGGAATCTCTTCTAGGGCAGCAGGTCTCCTCATCTCAAGCACAGAGACTGTTTCAATTTCTGGGGTGACAGGAGGGTCTCAAGAGCTGTCGGTGGTAGAGGCCGAAATAAGCCTGACAGGAGACCAATGGGAAAAACATTCCATTGTGACAGGGCCAGAAACCCCTTGCATTCTTGGCATGGATTACCTCAGGAGAGGATACTTCAAAGGCCCGAAGGGGTACCGATGGGCTTTTGGTATAGCCGCGGTGACTGAAGAGGAATCCAAATGGTTATCTACCCTGCCCGGCCTCTCAGAAGATCCTTCTGTTGTAGGATTACTGCAAGTTGAGGACCAGTGAGTGCCAACAGCCACTAAGACAGTGCATAGGCGACAGTACCGGACGAATCGAGACGCTGTGATCCCCATCCATAAGATGATCCGCAAGTTGGAAAGCCAAGGGGTGGTTGGTAGAACACACTCACCCTTCAATAGCCCCATTTGGCCTGTACGTAAGTCAGATGGCGAATGGAGACTGATGGTGGACTATCGTGGCTTGAATGAAGTCACGCCACCATTGAGTGCTGCTGTACCAGACATGTTGGAGCTCCAATACGAGCTGGAGTCCAAGACAGCGAAGTGGTATGCTACCATCGACATCGCCAATGCATTTTTCTCCATTCCCCTAGCAGCAGAGTGCAGGCCGCAGTTTGCTTTCACGTGGAGAGGTGTGCAGTACACGTGGAACCGACTGCCCCAGGGGTGGAAGCACAGTCCAACAATCTGCCATGGACTGATTCAGGCCACACTGGAGAAGGGCAAGGCCCCAGAACATATCCAGTACATTGATGACATTATTGTATGGGGGGACACAGCGGAAGAAGTTTTTGAGAAAGGAGAGGAAATCATCCAGATTCTCCTTGATGCCGGTTTTGCCATTAAGAAAAATAAAGTCAAGGGACCTGCCAGAGAGATCCAATTCCTAGGGGTGAAATGGCAAGATGGATGACGTCAGATACCAACAGATGTCATCAATAAGATTGTAGCCATGGCTCCACCGACCAACAAGAAGGAGACGCAAACTTTCCTGGGGGCCGTAGGTTTCTGTGGTGGTTTCACCCTAGGCCTTCCTGGAGACCAACTTGTAACCAGGAAGGAACTAGAAAAGTGATCACGGAAGTATTCCATGCTATTCCTTTACGTAACTGGAGGTATAAATAAAGCCAGTGGGAGGGATCGCGCCCTCTTCCTCTCCGGCGAGGTTCGAGAACGGTGGGTCCCTGTTTCGGTCGAGCTTATCTGGAGCCGAGGCCTACAGTGACTGCCGCTATCCGCTTCGCGTGAGAGGAGAGCCTTGGGCTGCATCAAGTCATTCTGCCTGTTCGAAGGGAAGTGGTGAGATTTCTGCTAGTTTGCCTTCGGCTGGCTGTTTGACTTGCTTGGTCCTTGCCCCTTTTTGTCTTTCTCCCTTTCCCTTCCCCTTCCCCCCCCCCCCCAGGTGTGTGGTATTTTCCTTTTGTGTATCTGTCTCATATGTAAAATATATATATATATATTTGCTATAGCTTTGGCTGCTTAGTTTGTTTTTTTTTCCCCTCTTTTCCCTCTCTGGGAGGCGGGTCCTTGTTGTCGAGTTTTGGGGACTTGGCGGGAAACCAGCTCGAAACTTGTACAGTTTCTGGAGAATGCACATCCCTGGGTATAGCCAGATTGTGAGCCCTCTTCACTTTGTGACCCGTAAAAAGAATACCTTTCAATGGGATCCTGAACAGGAACAGGCATTCAAACAGATCAAACAAGAGATTGCACATGCCGTGGCTCTTGGACCAGTTCGAACGGGACCAGACGTGAAGAACGTACTTTACACTACAGCTGGAGATAAAGGTCCCTCCTGGAGCCTCTGGCAAAAGGTGCCTGGTTAGACGCGAGGGTGACCACTTGGCTTCTGGAGCCGGAGCTACAGGGGTTCTGAAGCCAACTATACTCCTGTGGAAAAGGAAATTCTGGCGGCCTCTGAAGGCATAGAAGCAGCCTCAGAAGTGATTGGCACTGAAACACAGCTTCTCCTAGCACCCCGACTACCAGTCCTGAATTGGATGTTCAAAGGGAAGGTGCCCCCTACGCATCATGCCACCGATGCTACGCGGAGCAAGTGGATAGCCTCGATTACACAGCGTGTACGATTGGGAAGCTCAAATCGCCCTGGAATTCTGGAGGTTATAACAAATTGACCTGAAGGTGGGAACTTCAGTCTGGCAGAAGAAGAACCAGTGAGCCGAGCTGAAGAAGCTCCACCATTTGATCAGCTGCCAGATGAAGAAAGGCGTTATGCCCTTTTCACTGATGGTTCTTGCCGTATTGTAGGGAGGAACCGGAAATGGAAAGCAGCCGTTTGGAGTCCCATCCGACAAGTGGCAGAAGCTGCTGAGGGTCAAGGCGAGTCGAGTCAATTTGCGGAACTCAAAGCTGTCCAATTGGCCCTGGACATTGCCAAACGAGAAGGATGGCCAAGACTCTACCTCTACACTGACTCGTGGATGATAGCCAATGCACTATGGGGATGGTTAGACTGATGGAAGAAGATGAACTGGAGGCGTGGAGGAAAACCCATCTGGGCTGCTGACTTGTGGCAGGACATCGCTGCCAGAGCGAAGAGTCTGAATGTGAGAGTCCACCATGTAGATGCCTATGTGTCCAAGAAGCGAGCTAATGAAGAACACGATAACAACAGAGAAGCGGACCGAGCTGCACAGATAGGAGTGTCACAAGTAGACCTAGACTGGCAGCAGAAGGGAGAGTTGTTCTTAGCTCGATGGGCCCATGATGCTTCCAGTCATCAGGGCCGAGATGCCACCCACAGATGGGCACGAGACCGAGGGGTGGATTTAACCATGGATATCATTTCTGAAGTTATCCATGATTGTGAGACTTGTGCCGCTATTAAGCAGGCGAAAAGAATGAAACCCCTGTGGTATGGTGGACGATGGGATAAGTATAAGTATGGAGAGGCATGGCAGGTTGATTATATCACACTGCCACAGACCCGCCAAGGTAAGTGCTATGTGCTTACCATGGTGGAAGCAACCACCGGATGGTTAGAGACTTTTTCAGTGCCCCACGCAACGACCCGGAATACCATTCTGGGCCTTGAAAAGCAAGTCCTGTGGAGACACGGGACCCCAGAGCGTACTGAGTCAGACAACGGGACTCATTTTAAAAATGAATTAGTCACCAATTGGGCAAGGGAACATGGTATCTAATGGGCTTACCACATTCCCTATCATACACCAGCTGCTGGGAAGGTTGAAAGATATAACGGACTGTTGAAGACAGCTCTACAGTCACTAGGTGAGGGAACTTACAAGAACTGGGATAAGAACTTAACCAAGACCACCTGGCTAGTTAACACCAGGGGTTCTGCACAAGCAGAATCCCTCCACATTGTTGATGGAGATAAAGTTCCAGCAATCCATTTGAGGGGAATGCTAGGGAAAGCTTTTTGGGTTACCGCTGCCTCAGGCCAAGACAAACCCATTCGTGGGATTGTCTTTGCTCAAGGGCCAGGACATACGTGGTGGATAATGAGGAAGGATGGAGTGATCCAATGTGTGCCCCAAGGAAATTTAGCCTTGGGGAAAAACTACTTGTATGTCCTGAGTTGTGTTTTTACAGGAAGCCAGTCACCAGATGAGAGAGAGAGAGACCTGAACTAAACTGATGCTGATATCCAGTGATGAGACAGCCCAGAATGATGAAACAACCATAAATCAGAACTGCAATTGTGACTGAGGAGACCAAAGATCTGGACTGAATTGAACTGATGTCAGTATTGATTTCCAACAACGAGACAACTGCGCCGAGAGACCAACAAGGACTACATATGTATATGTGTATATATATGCGCGGGATGTAGGCGAACGTGAGACATAGGTGTTACGTAAAAATAGTATGGAATAAGAGGTGGAGAATGTGGTGGTTTGGGGTAGACCTTCCTTGGTGACCAGTTTGTAACCAAGGAAGGGTCCAGATTTACCCAGTATTCCCTACGATTTTTACATAAACCAGATTATAAGAAGAAAGGAGGAGAGGCCATCGCTCTCTTTCCTTCCGGCGGCTTGGAGGTGCAGGTTCCCTGTTGTTGAGTCTGCTGTGTTGGGGAGCGAGGCCTGGTAAGGCCTTGTCGACCTTGGGAGGCGGAGGTTGCCGACGATCGTCCCGGAGCGACTCTTGGTTGTCCCAAGGAGAGTGGTGGGATATTTTCTTTGCAAACTCTTTAGTTACTAGATCTCGGGCTACTGATTGGGATATATATATATATATTTATTATTTTGGTTTTGTTCCCTTTTCCTTTCCCCCTTCCCCTTCCCTTGTGAAATTGCATATATTTTAAATTGCATATATTTCAATTGTAACATAAGTGTAAATATATTTATATATATCACTTTAACTGTCTCTCTCGTTTCGGGTTTTCTTAGTTGGTTGTTTTTCTCCCTCTTCTCCCTGAGGTTTGGGCGGGGGGGGTGGGGGGGACTTCTAGTGGTAAGGTTTGGCGACTTGGCAGGGAGCCACCTTCAAACCATATCACTGTGCATGTGTGAGTGTGAGTGAAAGACGGCCGTCAGTGAATGAGGAGAGTGGATGAATAAAAGAGTTGTTTGACTGGACAAATATTAAACACAAAACACCTTACAAAATAACATTACCTCCACCACAAGGTCACTTTAAGAGAATTTAGTTTTGCTAAGCTTCACCTGTTTTTTAAATAAAGTTGAACTCCCCAGTTATTTAAAAGCCCTCAGATTAATAAAGGTTATAAGTTTATACATGGTTGGGCTAAGGCCCCTAAGTTAATAAAGTTATTTCTCCAAGTTGCACTACCCTTTAGGAATATAAGAAAGTTTTAAAAGGTTTACAATAGAAGTATAAGAGGCCAAAGCAAGTGATGTGCTGGGTCATTGCGAGCTTTGTGCTTTACAATGTACTGTTCTGACTGTTTGCACTGTTGTTTTTGCACTGTTTTTGTGACTTCTTTAGATAATTAAGAGGGGGGTGATGCAGGGGGCATGTTTAAGGTATGAGGGGATGTACCAGGGCAAGAGTGCCCGAGGGAGCATGCGCTGACACAGACAACCTTACTGGTCAAAGAAGTCACATGGTTTTAAGGGATAAAAGCAGCGCCGAATTTGAAATAAACCTTTTTGTTTTACCACCCCACGAGGAGCATGTATTTTCCTTATTACATAAGGACACGTGTCACCCTACACAGAATATACCATCTAAGGAGTCTTTCTGCTGTGCCTTTTGCAATCGGACATGTCTATCTCGTATTGGCCTCATTAGCCACCAGCATGCTTGTAACAAATGTGGATAGAGCCTTCCTAAATCTTTGTTCATGAAGCCTAGCCATGATGATGATGTGTTTCCTGGATCCTGTAAACCTGAATACCTTTTTTCCCTGTAATTCCCCCAAGATAAAATGGGTTTTCCCCTATGATGTATGTGTTAAGACCCCAAATTTGTTAACCTGGGTTTTCCCCTTCTATTTCATCCCTGTAAAACCCCCCAGTTGTAATAGAATGAAAATGTAAACCCACCCATGAATATGTAGTAACACAGACCTATAAAAATACCAGTTTTTGTACGAATAAACCATTCCAGTTTCTTGCCCCCAAGCTGAGATCGTCTTAGCTTTATTGACCTCCGCAAGGGTGGGCTGCTGAGCTATTCCCCCCACCTTCTTTTTTGTCTCATTCCGCAGGTGCCTGGGAGGACACCTGTGGATGGCCCCACAACCGCAGCAGAATGTGTGGGTGATGCAGTGCAGGGGAATTTCTGCTTACATAATGGGGGGAGGGACTGGAGACCTCTAGCTGGGCATGTGCTGGCCACATATGCCCAGATAGACGTCACAGAGCAATTGTGTGAAAGACAGACAGTTCCTGCTCCAGGCTGAGGTGTGCTAAGACCGAGGACAACGTTGCCTCTGCAGGGACGTCTGCTAAGTGTGTTAAGCCTACCAAAGCCCAAGGATGCAGCGGCTAGTCATACTGGGAATCTTGAGCATATTGGGGTCGGTATGTACAGCAACTGTGTGAATAACACATGAGTGAGTGGAAGTTGTCTTGGAGTTTGTTTTTTTTCTTGGTTTCTCTTTTTGTTTGCTACTTCTTTGTAATAAATGTTGCTTTCTTGAATTTTAAACAGTGTCATTGTTTTACCTTGGACTCCTCCCGGTAACAGGGAGATGCTGTAAATTGTTGGTTTCTTGTACCCTCTGTCATTGGTATTGTTGCTGTAACTGTTTGTTTTCTTATCTTTCCTGTTTCCTGTAAATTGTTCTTATGTCAACCTGTGATCTTTCTTAAGTCAACCTATGACCTTTACCTTTTGTGCCCCCAATTCTCCTCTCCAGGGCACTGCAGGGGGAGGGGGAAGGAGGAGTTGGGGGAAAGTGAGAGAGCAACAGTGTGGTTTGGAGAGTCTCAGTGGGAGCACCCTTCCTAAACCACAAGACCTGGTCAGAGAATATTGGGTCTGTTGGTGATGTAGTTAACTTTCCTCAGAGCAGCCCATGTAGTGTTGTGCTTTGCAGCCAATGTTTTGGCTGTTGCTGAACAGTGCTCATACATCATCCAGATTGTCTCTCCAGTCCCTTTACCCCAAAGGCCAGTAGGTTGGGATGACCAAGAGGTTGGGAGCTGACACATCCAGGAGTCTGACCTCAGTGGATCTCAGGTATAGTCACAGAATCACAGAATCGTTGAGGTTGGAAGGGACCTCCAGATATTGGTAAGGACTTAAAGAGCACAGTTGCCTGTCTCAAATACTGTCAAGGAACTTACCATGAGATAAGCCAGCACAGTGGAAACTTGAGATAAGCATGGAAGAGAGGAATTTGCAACAAAAAGCCGCTAATTGCAGGCCTGGTGGAAGTGAGATCTGGTTAGCGCATCCTGGTTAATGCATCTGGACTGAAATTCCCACTGCAGAAAACTGTGGGAAAGGAAGCAACTGCTCAGGCACATATCACCCTAAGTTATGGGAACGGCATCTGTGACCACCCCGTGGATACTGGAACCTGGACTGTATGAAGGCGGTACCCTCAGAAGAACAACTCAGGACTTCTCCCACCGAGAAGCCCAGAGTGAAGAAGTGTGGGAAATGACTGGGCTGCAGACAGCTTAGGCCTTGAACTTGAGCAGTTACAGCTGTGAGGTTGTAAAAGAAGGTAAACATTGAGGATGAGAAAGCAGAAAAGGAGAAAGAACTGCAATAAATAACAGGTGTTGTTTTGAGATTTGCCAGCACGTGAGGGGATGCCGTCCACCTATTAGAAGATGAGCTTAGACTCATGGACAAGAACACATAACCAATGAAATATAGTATATTGGCACGTGGGCAGAAGAAAAAGACTATAAAACTAAGCCTTCTGTAAATAAAGTGTACCTTGCCTGCCAACTTACTGTCCGAGAGCATTTTTGTCAGTCATCAGTTAATGAACCCCGACGTGATTTATTACAATAATGACCGTGGATTGAGAGTGGTGGTGACGGAGCTCAGTGTAGCAGCAGCCAGTGGACCTTAAAGCTGGAGTCCGGACCTAATTACTTACAGACACCTGGAGAGAAGGTGAGCCGCTTGGGACATAAATAATGGGCACGCAGATATCTGTGCAAGAAAAATCTATTATCACTATGCTAACAAAATACTCGAGAAATGCGGTGTAAAATATGATGAATGTGCCCTCCACACCTTGCTACAAGTTCTCTAACTACTTGGAGGCTTGTAATCGACTCACTGAAGCAGCTCAAAGCAGATCGGGAAGCCGCTTCTGCAGCGAGTAATGTTCTGCAGCCTGAGGTGTCTGGGACTGCATCTGGAGCTGCTGCAGCAAGTCCCTCTCAAGCCCTCCCACCCACAGAACCCCAACGGGAATCTACTGTGCCTCATCCCAATACTGTCGGGGAGCCAGGGACCACTCCTGCCATGGACTGTGTAAAGGTCCTGCTGCCCCCAGATACAGGGGAAGGGTCTATCACCTGAGGGGAGGTGATAGAGGAGTCCATGTTAGTAGACTTGTCAGCTGATGAAGGAGTCGGAGGACCGAGATGCTGGCTCCCAAGTTCTTGAGTGGAACCTACTGCGCCTCCTTTCCCTCTGGGGCAACATGTTGTAACCATGAAACCGGTACAGGTTTCCATTTCTGCTCCCAACCCCTGCAAATTTTGGCAAAAGTTCAAAGAACAGGCTCTAAAGGTGGGAGACTCCAAAATGGTGCAAGCCCTTGGGGGTGGCCCGTTGCTCACGTACCCCATAATTCGCAACAATGGGGAAGGGCCCAATGAATGGAAACCATTTAATTACTCTATTATTAAGGACTTGTGTCAAATGGTTATGCATCATGGGATTAGTTTGTCCACCACTCAATATGCCACAATTGCAGGCTCGGCTTCATCCCCTTATTTTGCAGCAATCCAAATAACTCGCTGCTCAAGCTTTGCTTCTTGTCCCTGATATAGGCAAGCCAAGGCAATCGTGGACGACTATTAAGAAATAAACCAATGAGCCTTATGTGCAGTTTATTGATAGAGTAAGAGAAGCAGTGGAAAAGCAGGTGCTTAATGTGGCGGCTCGAGGTACACTTATATTACAGTTAACCCAAGATAATGCTAACACAGACTGTAAACGTGCACTGCTATCTGTATGTGTAGTGATGCAAACCTGGTTGACATGATAGAAGCATGTGCAAAGGGGGGCTCTGTGTCTCACCAGATGGAGACCCTGGCTAACACGTTTGCAGTGGCAGTAAGGGTAGAGAAGAGGTGCTTTAACTGTGGGACAGTCTGGACATTTTAAAAAACAATGCCCACACAGACCCCCCACTGTGTCGAGCTCGAGCTCCATGTTATTTTGCTCACGTTGACAATACAGGTGCAAAATACAGGGGGTTTTGGGTCTACAAGTACTCTGCAAATCTACTGGACGACAGTTGTCAGTTCTGATAGGCCATCTCTGACCTATGTGCTCACATGAATACAGGGAAATTCAAAAAGCTGGCCAGCTAAGGTATGATTGATACCAGAGCCGATGTTACTGAGTTAATCCAAGAGGCCTTAGTCCCTTAGATCTCTGGCAATCAGATGTTACACATGTACCACGATTTGGCAGATTGAAATATGTACATGTATCAGTGGACACTTGCTCAGGACTCATAGTTGCCACTGCACATACAGGAGAAAAAGCTAAAGATGTTAAGAGACACTTTTCCTCTGCGTTTGCCATAATGGGCATTCCAAAACAAATCAAGACAGATAATGGCCCAGCATACATTTCTGCTTCCCTTAAAGAATTTTTCAATATATGGGGAATAGTTCACACCACTGGAATTCCTCACTCTCCACAGGGCCAAGCGATAGTAGAGAGAACTCACAAATCTTTAAAAGATATACTGTGATGCCTTAAGCCCCTAATGGTTTTTTATTTCTTTTAATATTTGTAAGACTTGTAAGTTTTATAAGTAGGTTTTAAAAGCAGAAACCCTCCCTCCTTTCTCCCTTGTCCCTATCCCTTTCCCTGTACCACCCTTAGTTTACACATTCCTTAATCCTCTTCCCCCATTCTATGCTCCCCATATCAGCCCTACTTCTGAATACAGCAGAAGTGTTTAGTCTTTTGTCAAGGCAAGG